ACCTCGAAAGATGTCGAACAGCACTTTATCAAGTCTCCTTCATCCATAGAACGGCTAGGCTCTAGAATTCATTGCCTGTAGAAGTATTCCCAACAACATATTATCTCCAGGAGTTCAAAAAAAAATTCCAATACCTACTTCCTGTCCCTATCCTCCCTAGGAACGCACGATGTTCTCTGAACATTATAGGGATTCCGAGAGGGATTCCCTTTCGTGCGCTCCAAGCGATAAAAAAAAGGACCACTTATAATTTTACTCTATTTCCAAGACCTGTAATTTTTTGAAAAAATTGACCGATCTTCAAGGGGTTTTCGATATCAGAGGTGATATTTCATCGGCTTCAAAGAGAGCTAGAACGCAGAACAAAACTTACACAGGGTGTAGAGTGGAACCATTACATTATGGTCTACATTCCCAATGCTGCCAGAACTCGAGAAATTTTTTTCTGATCAGAAGTAAGTCATATTATGTTACACTGGGACCTCATCTCGGGACTTTTTCGTGATTTCTCCCCAATTGGCAATTGGAACGAAAATTCGATTTTTTTTCGAAAGTCTTGCATTTCTTTGATTTTTTTCTCTATAGAACTCCACTTGAGCTGACTATTGGGAAGAACTATTCTCATGTTTTGTGGAGGACAATGAAAGACGAAAAAAGCACTCTTTTGAAATATACAGGATGATGAGAAAATAGGACAAAATCTCATTTCAGTAACAAAAAATGGTTACTAAAACCATGGCCCATTTGATTCAGTATATTCAGAAACGCTATTGAAAATTCGCCTCTTATATAAATACAGGATGAAAATTTTCAATTCAAACTTGTTTCCTAATATCGAAGATTCTTATCATTTTATCAACTGATTTCCAATATTTATTGCCCAAATATGAGACACAGAGTATTGTTGTTCAATATACTGAGTGTTTCACAACTTATCTGACAAATTACGAACTCTAGAAAACAATAATGTTAGATGAATGTGGTGACCAGAATTATCTCCAGACCTGAATTTAATTGAACATGTGTGGAGCCGAATGAAACTTAACCTATCGAGAAGGTGAGGCACCCCAAAATAATGACAACCTTATCCAAGCTGTATCAGAAGAATGGGAAGCAATATCAATCGACTTCATCAACAACCTCATAGAATCTATGCCAAACCGATTTCATGAGGTTTTGTTAAATCGGGGAGGCCTGCCAAGTAATGAAATTTAGAATATAGGACTTTCTAGTTGGATCTTCATAATGCTGAAGAATTCACTGATGTCATATTTCGCCAATAGAGCCCTTTTCGAATAGTTTTAATGGATATAAAGTGTTACAAATTTTATTTTCCATCTCGTTTTACTTCTGAAAAATGTTTTTGCGATAGACTTATTATGTAATATCGTATTTGTGGTTGAAATTCGTCGGATAAGTTGTAGGACACTCAGTATATTGAACAACAATACTCTGTGTCTCATATACTTGAGCAATAAATATTGAGAATCATCGATATCAGGAAACAAGTTTGAATTGAAAATTTTCATCCTGTATTTCAATTAGAGGCGAATTTTCAAAAACGTCTAGAGTTTATAGTCTAATATAAATAATGGATATCGAGAAGGCCGTTCCTGAATATACAGAATCGAATGGGCCATAGTTTTAGTCACCATTTTCGATTTTTTTTACCGAAATGGGATTTTGTCCTATTTTCTTATCATCCTGTATATTCCACAATAGTGCCTATTTCATCTTTCATTGTCCTGCACAGAACATAAGAACAGTTCTTCCCAATAGTCAGCTCAACTGGAGTTCTAGAGAAAAAGTTCAAGAAATGCAAGACTTTGGAAAAAAAATCGAATTATTGTTCCAATGGCCAATTAAGGAAAAATCACGAAAACTTCCCGAGATGAGGTCCCAGTGTATCATAATATGACTGACTTTTGATCCAAAAAAAAATTCTCGAGTTCTGGCAGCATTGGAAATGTAGACCATAGTGTAATAGTTCCCCTTTACACCCTGTGTAGTTTTGTTCTGCGGACTTTTTCAGAGTGTTCTAGCTCTCTTTGAATACGATGAAATATTCCATCTATTATCGAAAACCGCATGAAGATCAGTCAATTTTTCTAAAAAATACAAGTCTCCAAAATAGAGTCAAATTAAGAGTGGCCCATTTCGTGTGTTTAGAACTGTAGTATACACACCTCAGGACATAATGCTTTTTTCCCTCAGTGCTTTGTATCTCTCGGGCTTAACCCTCGAGCTACAAATCGCACCTTGGAAAAATTCTTGCAATTCTGTCCCTTGATGTATAATATACTATAATAATACAAGAGAAGAAAGTAGTAGATTTTAGCTCCAGGTTGTGGACAAAAAACCGTGAGCTAAAATCTAATATTTTTTCCGAGTATAATTCTCTTGGAGCGCACGACAAGGTATCCCTATGAATGATGTTCAGAGAACATCATGCGTACCTAGGTAGGATACTGAGGAGATAGATATTGTGATTTTTTTCAACTCTTGGAGATTATTAGTTCTTCGAAATACTTTCTGTGGCGAAGAATTCCGAAGCTCTTCCGATTTACAATGAGTGAGTTCTGGTGAAGAGTTGTTCGACTTATCTCAGGTTGACGACGAATAGATGTGCTGACTGGGGCAGTTCGTATTGTTAGTGATGGCATGATAGCAGGTATTTCTGAAAAACATTTGCCTTGGAAGAATCTATGAAAGTATGGATATTCCCCGACTATTTTGTTACGGAAGCTGATCCGTCCTCAATCGACTTTCCCTTTTTGAAAGAAAAAACATTATCCCTGTAAGACAGAACATTAATATTCCAGCAAAATTGGAATATGTAACGATCCATACTCTTCTCATAATCTATTCATGATGTAAGAATAAAGGTAAACATCTCCCTCGTCTAAATGTATTTCCCTGGTAGAAATACACTCGTGTTTCGAATACTATGTCTTCCCAACAACGACACCTTCATGAATAATTCAGAAGATATACTCCACCATATTTATATTTTAATATCAGAATTGTTCACGTTTCCAATTCCTATGGAGAGAATTCGAACACTAAAAGAAATACATGGAAGTAACTGTCTCACAAAATTACGAAAGCGCTGAATTGACTACCGAGCACGAAGAACACTTTTTCTCCAAATGACATTGGAAGAAGCTTTTTAATAACATTCAACAAGCAGAAGAGGTGTACTTTTACTGTTTAGAAAAAAAGTTTGTTGCTATGTAACATCCCAATTAATAATTTGAATCAAATTGGTAAACAAAATTGACAATGACATACAATATGATGGATTATTTGGACTTGGCGTAAAATAGAAATGAATTTGGAGAAAGAATACTGTGTTTCACATGACAGAAATGAAGATTCATATCCTTGGCTGGATTCCTAGCCTCGGGCACGCCTTGCCCAGCGAACATTGAACTACCGCCTTGCGAAGAGAAGATGTCTAGAACTGATTGAACACTAACGAGTTGTAGCCCTTTGATGATCAATATCCTGATCACTACTCGCCCCCCTGGTGGATGCTCTAGGAACATCAACAATTCAACAATTAGCTGATCATTTGGATCATTATTATATGTGACTCTCGTAATCGAGTATGTTTCGTATTTATTTGGTCGATTGTCAAATTCTTGTGCTCCTCACTCTACATCTCCTGCTGGTTATGATTCATGATGGTAGGACGGAGTATTCTCAATTATTGATAATATGTAGAAGACTGATTCTTCAATAATGATAATATTGGGTAAGTACATCGATCTACCTATCTAGTCTTTGAAATTTCATTATTGAGATCTTGTGTTTGGTATCTCATAACCTCATACAAAAATGATCATAATAATTGGAGTGGCTCTCATGTGGCTCTACCTCTCCAGAAGCATGACTAGGTACCACATTTTACTCGTTCGTTGCTATCAAAAGCAATCTTTGGTTAGGTGAACTTGTTTCTATTATAGACCTAGATATTAACAATGAGGTTCCAACTACAGAAATACCTGATGTGTACCAAAGAATTATAACAATTGAAAAGTTCCATACGATATCAGGCTATTGGTCAAGTAATGAACTCATGCAACAGTATTTCCTTTTCCCTTCTGACACTGATATCAAGACGGTATCTATCGGGAAAGGCCACTAGAACTGATGATGAATTCTATATTTCAGGAGTGAACCTCGCAACGAAGAATCCATTATACCCCAGTCAATTTAGGTTTTGACCCGGACATTGATAATTACTAAACGGGACCTTTTTCAATTTGTTAAAACACCTTTAAGAAACACCCTCAAGAAAGTCCCACGACGTTCTAAGTGGGATAGCGAAAATATGAAGGAAAAACTAGATGAATTATGCTCAAAATCAACAATATTAATATTATCTCCTTATTGGTGGATCCAAGCTCAATTATACCTATTATCAATTTTATAGGAAACTAAATTCTCTACAAGTTTCATACGAAACAATTTATCATTCGACCAATATTGAAAGAGCTGCAGGGCTTTGAAATAGGGCAATTATCGAAAATACCATAATCGTTCGGTTGTGAATGACATTTTGCATGAATATTTTTTCATTCATCAAAAACTGATCAAAAGCACAGAATATTCCTTCTGTTATGAATTTGGGATCATTAATAACGATTTCATTTGTTCGCACCAGTTACGTAATTCCTCGGATTTCTGAAGTTCACCTGGCAATTAATAATATTTTGATACAGTAGTAATAATAATAGCTGCTGACAAAGTAATCGAAATCTCAGTAAAATCAGGTTTTTGACTCGGATATTGATAATTATTACTAAACACGGACCTTCTCTCAATATGTTCGAATGCCTTACGGGATGACACTTAAGAGAGTCCTACGACGTCTTCAGTGAGATAGCCAAGATATCCTGGAAACACCGGATTTTCAAGGAAATTCCTGGAGCATGCCTAAAATCGTTATTGATAAAGCTATTTCTTTACATTTCATATGATTTTTTTTATTGCAATCGAGTGAATAATAAGGATGATGGTTTCATCTAATTGTAAATAGTAATACAAATAGTTTTTATTACTTCGCGAGCTAGAGTCTTCAAGCGAGGCTGAGTTCCACATCAGTTTCTGAAACAAAATTATTATAAATAAAACAATAACACATCCTCAAATAGAGGAACGAGGAGCAATTATGGATGTTCGGTGGCGTACCAGTACACGGGATCGGCTCGAGGTCTTTGTCCGGATGGTCGACGTTGTCCTCGTCCTCTTCTCTTAACGTATTACTACATCCATGCCCCGCGCAGTACCCGCAGATGTTCGAACACACCATCTTGTGCCTTCTGCACGAACATTTTTTGGATTCACACCCATGTGTGCAGTTACAAGATACCATTTCGAGAAGGCGGTCTGGAGCCGGCTTACTTCGGTTGGTCACTGGGCGTAAGTGACCCTCTTCGTCCTTCTCGAATCCCCAATCAGTGGGCGGTAGAGGATTTCCTAACCATTCCTGGACCTGCAAGTACAATCTATGTGCAGTGAATATGTTCAAGAAATATACTGAATGAACCGGCTTTTTGAATGGAACTAACCTGAAGATAGACTCGTAATGAGTGCTCTCTACTTGACGATGATGTGGGAGGCAGCTGGGCCAGATCAAATTTCTTGTTGGCAAGGAGCCGAGAATTGATTTTCACATACATCTGGAACCTTCTCTTTCCAAGATCATCCGAGGTTTTCCCTGGATACAGAGACATAATGAACATCTCTCCAGCAGTGGCAATGTCGTCTGGTGTGGCGTTTGGTGAGTTGAACACTCCAACTCGCAGACGTAGTGCCTCATCTTGTTGCAAGCGCCTGAACAGCTTCAATTTACCAATATTAAATATAGCACTAGTTGTATCACACCCCGTAGCAGCGTGTAGAAAGAGTATTGATTCTTTCATTGGTCCTAAGAACTCCTGACATTCCTTGCTGCTATATAACTTAGCTGGTTTACCCTTGATACCAGGTATCAGGAATTTGATATCAACCTGAGGTGGAGACAGAGCAGTAAGTAGAACCGCGAGGTCTGTGTCTTGTCCAATAACAACAGTTTCATCCTGTTGCTCAGAATAGCATATAGCGGTTGTCCTATCTTCAATATTTTTGATTTCCTGGCAAACTTCAGAAATCCGAGGATTTGCATAACTGGTGCGAACACATAAGATCGTTATTAATCAGTCCAAATTCATAACAGAAGGAATATTCTATGCTATTGATCAATATTTGATTAATGAAAAAATATTCATGTAAAATGTCATTCTCAACCGAACAATTATGGTATTTTCGATAATTGCCCCATTTCAAAGCGCTGCAGCTCTTTCAATATTGGTCGTATGAAAAACTGTTTTTGATGAAACTTGTAGAGAATTTAGTTTCCTATAAAATTGATAATAGGTATCATTGAGCTTGGATCCACCAATAAGGAGATAATATCAAAATTGTCGATTTTGAGCATAATTCATCCAGTTTTTTCTTCATATTTTCGCTATCCCACTTAGAAGGTCGTGAGACTTTCTTGAGGGTGTTACTTGAAGTTGTTTAAACAAACTGAAAAAGGTCCCGTTTAGTAATTATCAATGTCCGGGTTTGGTCGGAAATTTGCCTATTATTACTGGGGTATTATGAAGGAATGCTTCCCAATGAGATCCAGATGTAGATACCACGTACCAGCCGCAGTAAGCAGTCACTCTGAGAAGTTTCAACATGAAAGAAGAGAGAGGTGAAAACTTCCATCAATCTTGAAAAGTGCCAACGTACAGGGCGATTCCCCATAAATGTCCCCCGCCTCTAGCTCAGTTATTTTTGAACCGATTTCAAAATTTGAAATATCATCTCAAATGATTTTCGATGAAGTTTTTTCCACTACATCAGGAAATACAGGGTGCTCGGAACAAACGATCTACAGAATACTATTTGATATTTTTAAATGGAACACCCTATTTTTAATTGTATTTTTAGATTCTCCTGAAGAGCTGATTTGATCAATGTATTACACTTGGGGTCTAGCGGGAATGATTACAGAGATATAGGGTGTTCAAAATCGAGATTTTTCAACTTTAGGATTTTTTTGTCACGGAACTATTCACTATCGATCAAAACGGCTAATTATGTCCGTACCTTGACTTTCGATTCACTATCTACTGACATTTAATAATTGGCAGATACAGGATGATCAGCATTCTGAATCTTGAACCACCCTGTAAATGTTCCAATTAAATGTCAGTAGATAGTAAATCAACAGTTGAGATGGATACTTAGATGCCATTTTATAAATAGTTTCGACACAAAAAAATCTTAAAGTTGAAAAATTTCGATTTTGATTTTTTTAACACCCTATATCTCACCCTGTAATCATTTCCGCTAGACCCTAAGTGTGATGCATTGATGAAATCAGCTCTTCAGGAAGAATCTAAAAATACAATGGAATAAATGGTGTTCCATTTGAAAAAATCGAGTAGTACTCTGTAGATCGTTTTGTTCCGAGCATCCTGTATTTTCTGTTGCAACGGGAAAAAAAATGTCTGAAAAATCATTTTAGATTAATTTCAAAATTTTTAAATCGTTTCAGAAATAAGTGAGCTAAAGGGGGGGAAATTTATGGTGAATCACCCTGTACATGTCAAAATTTGAAAAATACTTTTTTTTTTCGCGTTTACATCACATTCTTGCGCCAATGAAATGCTATCTAGTATCTAACACTCATACAATATACAGAGTGACCCATTTGAAAGCGGGCCACCCCTGTATCTCACGTAATCGTTGGGTAAGGATCATGAAATTTGCTGGAGCGAGAGATATACCAAAAATGCACTCAATAACCAAGTGGGGTCATCTTCAGTGATATACACTGCTCGCCAACAGCCATGGAACCACCCCAATTTCCGGAAAATGATATTAGGAGTCAAAATAGGTTGAAAATCACTTCGGATTCGGAATCAGGACGCCCAATTCTCTAACTCTTCATATTTTTCCTTGAAAATTTTCAGTTCTGAAAAATTAAATTTTGTCGCACTTTTCACGGAAGCACCCCCGTATCTCACGTAATTGACTTCATCTTTGAACTTTCCGTTCCTCCTGCAAATTTCAGAACCCTACACTGAAAAAAAAATTGAGTGAAATTTCACTCAAGGTCCACGCAATAATGAGTCAATTTCGGTCCACGCCCGATTGAGTTGAAATTTCACCCTACTTGACTGTGTAAAATGGTAATTCATGAACCGATTCAATCAAATTTGTTATAAACATTCTCATTGTTATGAGAACTTGATGAAATATCTAGTTTGAGTTGAGAATTCACTCAAAAATTTCAATCGGTAAATTCACTCACAACCCCATATTCATTCACTCAGAGGAATTTTCTACAGTGTACCACAATAATTACGTGAGATATGGGGGTGCGCTTCCATGAAAAGTGCGACAAAATGTAATGTTTCAGAGCTGAAAATTTTCAAGGAAAAGTATGAATAGTTAGTGAATTGGGCGTCCTGATTCCGAATCCGAAGTGATTTTCAACCTATTTTGACTCCTAATATCATTTTCAGGAAATTGGGGTGGTTCCATGGCTGTTGGCGAGCAGTGTATATCACTGAAGATGACCCCCTTGGTCATTGAGTGCATTTTTGGTATATCTCTCGCTCCAGCAAATTTCATGATCCTTACCCAACGATTACGTGAGATACAGGGGTGGCCCGCTTTCAAATGGGTCACTCTGTATATGAATATATATATGTTTAAACACGAATTTTCGTGACTTCCTTCCGAGTTGAAAAACTTTTAACATCCGCTGAATTCGATGGCACTTCTTCTTCCTTAGATATACTATCGTGTTTTGAAGTTATCTCGTGACGCTCCAGTTCTAGCTCGAGCTTGTAAGTTTCGCACTGTGAAGACGATATTCCGTAAAATATAAACACTCGATTTCTAAAGACTAGGCGAGAGTCGAAAGGTCTCTTGACCTATAAGCCGTCTGAACGAATTCCATGATCTCGGCAGATGAAATACCAGCTGATCCTCAAAGGAGAAAAGATGCTTTCTATACAAAATAGTCGACTCTTTCCATCAAACGTCATTATACGACAGATATCCTATGTAAATTAACAGCCTGGAGAACCATAGCAAACTGGTTCAAGCTATTCTCTGGAAAATCCTTTTTTCTACGGGCATACGGAAAAATTACTTTTCTGCATGACTTTTCCATTTGAAAGTTGTAGATTTCCGCATTATTTTTACTTCTTCGCACGTTCTCGAAGAAAATACCAGGAGATATGTGGTGATAACTGTTGGCACAAGAACGTACCCATAGCAACTGTCGCTATGAACTGACAGTAGTGACAGTGCTGAAAAGTTACTTACCCGCACGATTTTTGTATTGTTGTACCCGAGTTATACCTAATGAATCTTTCTATGGATTCAGATAGAGGGATAGATGACAGATAGATAACGCTACCTCATATAGTATTTATTCACCAGAGGTTGATATATGAAGAACGCTGGGCTGGCTTGTAACTACCCGCAGCTTCTTGGAAACAACGTCGAACATCTTCCATACTGAAATAGAATCTATGAACATCTGCTGCTGAAAGCTCTAAGATTCTCCACTCCTTGAATCCAAAGTTGGCACTGGAGCCATGAGAGGGAATTAAAAGCGATTGAACTACCTGCTGAATCTTTTTATGGGTTCAGATGATGGGATAGATAACAGATGGATAACAGTACAGTCCAACTCGATGAGTGGCCGCTACCTCATAGTATTCATTCACCAGAGGTTGATATGATGATAGCTGGACTTGCTTGTATCTACTCGCAGCTTCTTGGAAACAACCTCGAACATCTTTCATACTGAAATAGCATCAATGAACACCTGCTGTTGGAAGATCTGAGATTCTCCACTTTTTGAATCCAAAGTTGCTACTGAAGCTATAAGAGGTAATTAAAAGCAATGGAACTACCTAATGAAGGAGTTATGACCAATCTCACCTTAGAAATAACTTTGTATAGGGTTTTCTATAGTCTGAAGAATGTAGCAAAACACTCTTACTGGGAAAATACTTGTGGTAGAACTAAATAGTTGCTGAATCTACTGAAAATAGAACAGAGGAAGCTAACATGCGTCCTCAGTAAACATTGACTGAGGAGGACACTGAATCATGCAGTTTTATCAATAAAACACAGGGAATTGAGATACTGCATAACTCGTACAAACTTCCTAGTATATCAAGTATATGCTACAATCTTTCAGGTGGAAGTCTTTCCTATTGAATTGTTTATCACAAGACAGTTGACTAACAGACTTCTAGTAAACAGAAACATCAGTATCATATCAGATCGACAGTCAGACTGAAATCACTGAGACCAGTAAGATTGATGAATCCCTAGAAGCACAGTTTAGGGAATATTATGTAATATTCTCCAAACTGTGCTAGAAGGCCTAGGTGCTAACAACAATGTTACTTTGCTGTGATGGTGTGAATTACACTAGGATTGACCCATTCGAAGGCGTTTCTGTCGTCTAAAGAGAATATAGTCATGCAGATCCTATATAGAAGAGAGAATCTGCGAATTCTGACAGGACTCATGACCAAGATAGCACCTAGCAAGGATGGGTCTGAATCGACAAACAGACTGTCGTTTCTGCTATTTGAGAGATGGAACGGCTGAATACAAATTATGTTCATGCTCTTAATTAGAGAGACATAGATCAACATATATTTGGTTTCAGCAATTCAGAACTTGGCAATTTCAGGAAAATCTCATCTCAAGCAACCTCGGACCTAGTGGAAAGAAGTGAATATACAAAGAGTGATCCACAATAGACCCATCATTTGAGGCTACGGTTGACAGGCCGTATTCGCCCTACTCACATGAAACCAAACCAAACTTCAAGTGACCTGTAGGCCTAGTC